TTACCACCCACCAAGGTCAAGGAACTTCAATGTTTCCTCGGATTCGCCAACTTCCTACGACGGTTCATCCACAGGTACTCCGAAGTTTGTCGACCAATGACCGACCTCTTGAAGAAGGGTTCCGTATGGCGATGGAGCAGTGAACAGCAAAATGCTTTCGACGAACTCAAGGAGAGATTTACGTCTGCCCCAATACTACGACACTATGACGAACACCGCGAAGCGATCATAGAAACTGACGCGAGTGACTGGGCTGAGGCCGCAGTACTCTCTCAGGTGTTCGAGGACGGTATTCTACACCCGGTAGCTTACCACTCTCGCAAGTTCAACGAGGCAGAGGTAAACTACGAGATCTATGACAAGGAGATGCTCGCTATAGTTTCTGCTCTCCTGACTTGGAGACATTGGCTGGAAGGAACGGATATTCCTATCCAGATACATTCGGATCATCAGAACCTACAGTACTTCACAACGACCAAGAAGTTGTCGAGAAGACAAGCCAGATGGGCCGAAAAGATAGCACCTTTTCGCTTCAGGATTCATTACCGACCAGGCGAAAAGAATGGCAAGCCAGATGCACTCACAAGGCGCCCAGAGTTCGCTATGGAAGGGGGAGTAATGCGTGAACATCCCGTAAAACAGTTGCTCAGCGCAGAACAATTTGTCAGAAAATCACGGACCAGTGTAGAAACTGGCCCTGAAATCATTGGCAACCCCGAAGAAGGATGGATTCCGTTGGATCAGTGGTACGACATACCAGGTACTGAGCTGCCTCAGCCAATACAAGACTGGTATGAACAGGACAGACAATGGGTTCGGAGAGTGTTCCGGGATGAACCTCTCCCTGACGCAAACCTTGAAGTCTTCGGGACAGAGGAAGCTGATGCCGTAATAACGGAGCTTGCCACTGAATGGACCCCGGGATCGAATGAGGCCACCCACGATGGTCGTTGGGTAGTGCCAGGATACGCGGTCAGACAAGTCATCGAGGATCATCATGACAGACCCGTAGCGGGGCATCTAGGAAGGGATAAAACCCTTGAGTTGATCGATAGGAACTACTGGTGGCCAGGAATGTCCACGGATGTAGCTAACTTCGTCAAGACTTGCGATGTGTGCCAGAGAGCCAAGCAACGTCGGAGACACTTGTCACTCCCTCAACCCCTAGAGTTAGCCACCACACCTTGGACTGATATCTCAATGGATTTCGTAGTAGAAATGCCAAAGGAGAAATCAGGATTCCGTAACGTATTAGTAGTCGTGGACCGTTTTACGAAAATGGCTCACTTCATTCCAATGACGGGAATCAACGCGGAACAGACCGCTAACGCCTTTGTCAAGGACATTTGGCGCTTTCACGGACTTCCTAGGAGCATTGTCTCTGACAGGGGAACACAGTTCGTATCGGCATTCTGGGCTGCGGTCACGGAACGACTAGGGATTCGTAGAAGACTCTCGACCTCGTTCCACCCACAGACGGATGGACAAACAGAAAAGACCAACCAGCACCTCGAATCCTACATCCGGGCCTATACCGCCGGAACAGGAAAGAAATGGAAGGACCTACTACCGATCTGCGAGTACGCATATAACAATGCAAAGCACTCGTCAACTGGACAGTCACCGTTCTATTGCAACTACGGTTTCCACCCACGAACGGATTGGCCAACAAACGCGGAAATCGGGCAGTTGGATGCCAAGGAAAGTACCTACTTGGAAGACCTTCTACTACCCCACGAGTCCGCAAGAGATACGCTGCAGAAAACCTTTGACAGAATGGCATCGAGGCCAGGACCAGCAGCTCAGCGGTTCACAATCAGTCAAAAGGTCTTGCTGGATACTCGGAACCTCGGCGGTTATAATAAGTGGTCAGACAAGTTCACAGGCCCTTTTGAAGTCACCGCGGCTGTAGGAAATAGGGCTTATAGATTGAATCTTCCGGTAGAATGGAAGGTTCATGACGTATTCTACGAGATGTTGTTGCGACCTTATCGAGAGGATCCCAACCCTGGCAGGCAACAGAACACACGAAAACGACTCGCAACACCCGATCCTCAAGAAGCGCTCTTAGATGAGAACTTCAAACCAACCACGAATATTCGGCCCCATACACGGAGTCAAGGGCCAGTCATCGACGCGAGTCGGCCTCCGAAACGACAACGGACTAGGGAAGACTAGCTCGATACCTTTCCTACTCTATGACTTTTCCCAAAGGGTGTTTATCATAGAGAGGTTTTAACGGTCGAGGGCGACGTCTAGGAAGGGGGAGTAGTGTTATAGGAAACACAAACACTGCTCCTAAGTCAAGAAATAAGGAGAATACGAGTGATGGGTTGTGATGCGAGTACGGTCGGGTAACGAAGGAACAAGCATAGGAAGGTACCGAGGGGTGTGGGGGCACCGGGTGCAACCACACTAGTATTAGGCTGTTGTGAGGGCACGCTTACTATTGGGTGTCTCACCCGGAACGGAATAGAAGCGGGGCTTATGGCTGCAGGCCATTCTACTTAGGGAAGTAGCTCTAGGACAATAGCATGATACAGCTCGGTTACTGGTAATTGCGGGGTTTATGGTTACGTGTCAGAATTGGAATGGAGGAACGGAACTATGCGGGGGCGCTTTTCTATTGGGGTTATCTTCGGGTTGATTGTCTTATTCTATTATCGTTATCTCATTAGTATTAGAAAGCGGGCCTTGGCATAGGTTCCAATATATATAAATAGGGAAGGGTTCCGCCTCGTCTTAGTGGCATCATCAGTCACTCAGCGAGCGGAATCCGGTCTACAATATTACAAGTTTAAAAGCTACAGAACTATCGCTTAGCATTGGCATTTCCCCAAACACTGCCGCTGTAAAGTGAGGTTGGAATCAGATTTCTCTTCACCACTCCTCGTCCGAAACGGGTCAAGAAAGTAGAGCGGACCTGGTGTTCTCCGAAACGTAGTAACTTTTGCAGCCCTTGTAATCCATCCTCACAGTGGGAAAAATCCCGCCGGTTTGTATTTGGTCGATTATGGCTGTTCCATAAAGGACAAAGAGAAATTGAAATTCCCATCCGTTCTATTTTCCGTGATAGGACTTCAAAGCAAGCAAGCATAGCGAGGTATCTGTACAACTGTGTAGACTAAGTCAACAAAAGATCAGTCCAAACTCTTCCACAGTTCAGAGATGTTGGTTCCCACTACATATAGTTGAAAGTAACGGTGATACAAAGTTACTCTTGATCTGCGCTTGGTCAAATCTCCTATTGCCCTTTTTTTTTTCTTTTCCAACTGCTCCGCTCAAGATACAGCAGCTGTCCGGTTCTTGGGCAAGCGACAGGACAGGATAGGAGAGTTCGCTTCGCACACTTTGTCTTCTCTGTGCTGCCATAGAGAAGGTGGTATAGACCATAAAAGGAGAAGCGTCCTGAATCTCATCCGTGGTGAAAGATTGATTTTGCGACAAAATGTTGCTGTCTACGAACATTATGGTGGGACAGAAAGAACTCTGGTTGACGCAGGGACCCCGCAGAGCCGCATGTGGCGCTAGGCACGAAGCGGCAGGGGTTCAATAAACTACGATAAAGTACTTTTTACCGTACTAAAAATATCTTGCAGCACCTCGTAACTTCAAATATACAATTGCATGATCCGCAGCAGCCATACGGATTTTGAGAATCCTATATCGAAGAACAAGAATCAAACCACTTACCACACTCAATGTAGATTCTTTCTGGATATCATCCTTTAAAACAATACGGTCGTCGCGGCCTCCCTACGAATATGGGACAAAGTTGGCGAGACATTCAATTGTCCTTTCCCACCTTCGCGACGAAAGCAAACTTCCAGATATAACACTAGCAATACCTTGTTCTACTGGAACCTCGAAGGACTACTGCGCTTTCTCTGTCTCGATCTCTCCCGGCATGGAAGATATGTTGGGGAAGACAGAAATGTCTGGCCTGATCACCCCGGCCTCGTTATGAACGTTGAAACACTGGACAATTACCTATCGAGATTTCTTCGGATAACTTGGGCTTTACTCCCTGTTAGCTGCTCTACACTCTCCAATCACTGGAGGCAGATATTACTTGTTAAAGAGAATTCAGAGGGAACAGAGGAATTGAACTCATGTTGTTATATTGCCCACCTATCTACATGGGCGATATATATTCACCTCCCTAGAGAGAGACTGTCGCTCCCCGCATAAAGGTCTTACCATCATCTTGGATCAAGAATGATCTTTCCGCTATTCCTTTAAAAGAGTTCTATTACAGTTGACACCCGCAAGGAAATGTATATAAGAATATTTACATTTCATGTTGTAATAATACAGAATATCTGTTTTATCCTCGGCTCTCGGCAATATGAATGTTCCTCAAGCGCTATATAAATATGCTACCAGATTCTAGACCTATGCAGGAAGAATGACGTAGAGTCAGAATTTGAGTGAGCATCATATCCTGTGCACACTCTTGCTGGCTCGAGATAAACGCTCAGGTCGATACCTCCAGAAGATCATATACTCTCCTCTCTGCAACCTCTGAAAGGTTCTTTCCTTATTTTTACTTCGCTCTTGTTTTCCTTATTCTTACTTCGCTCTTTGAGTACTCCCCGCTTTGGGCGGACATAGCTCAGCCATATAGCCCCACCCTACTCGACAATACAATTGAAGCCACCTTTTCTCCTTTTCAGGTGCATCCTTGAATGTGGTGGAAGTCTTCGCCCGTTCACAGTTAGGCCTAGGCCTATACAGTGGCCCCCTCAACGCTGTTTGGCAACAAGCAGCACGGTGGTTACCGTACCCAGGCGTAGTCGCTGTCACTCAGACGACATTCGGGGCCGCAACAGATATCACCTGACGTTTCCAGCACTACTTAAACCATCCATCGCACTTCAATCTTCATCTCCCACTTCTCATCCAAAAATCATCAACACCTACATCAAAAGATCAATCACACAAACCACTTCCAAACAACTTCATATCCTACGCCTCAAAACCTTCTCGAATCTGCAAAGATGTGCTACTTTACACCGACAGAGTGGGGATGCGGTAAGCCATGAACCCCCTTCATTTAGCTCTTCGATCTCATGGTCTTTCATCTAACAAAATGACAGGTCATCTCACTTATTCCAAGGTTCCGTGCCGCCATGTCCAGGCTTTCAAGGAGAAAGGGAAATCGTGCCCTTACAACACCACTCTCGGTACCTTGAGGCGCAACCGAAGCTGCGGGGGTATGTTCCATTAATCAACAGCATCTCCATTGTTATGCAATAAACTGACATCCCGTAGACGCTAAAATCTGCGTTCAGGCTCGCATCGATACGTTGAACGGAGAGGACTACATCCGTGCGCGTGTGCGAGCGATGCAGCAAGACTCGCAAGAGACACTGGTTCCTTCCACTACGGCGAACGACGAAGCTAAGTAAGCCACCCGATCTGGGCGGCTGTTTGGATGTTTGGCCTTTCTTCCGCCTGGTAGATTTCTACAGCTAGCAAGGGATACTCTGCTGGCGAGGGAAGAAATCTTGTGGTTTTCTGTACACCGGTGGTGGTTTCATTCAAGTTCTGGTTTTACTCTTCTCGTCTTGTCGACCGTCCAACGTTTTACTATCTTCTGTGCCATCTTCTCGTTTCTGGAGCGTTTTGCTCGTAGGACGCTCATTCTTATTGGGATTTCTCTGTTCTCGTGATATTCGTTTTCCGACGATTTTTCCCTTCTCACCGGTTCTTTTTGTTGACGTCTCATCTTCTTTTTGTTCTTTTCTGATTTTCATGATCCTCTGTTCTCCGGTTCTTATTTCTTTTTTTGCGCTGGGTTTGCGCTACAATGTTCTGAGTGGTGTCCTGTTCTGTGTGTATTCTGTTTGGAGTTTCTTTTTATGCGACAAGTCGAGTCGACAAGCCTCTTATATCCTGTGACATTCTTTGTTCCTATTTCTATACTCTTCATGGCAGCATCCAGCAAAGTCAACGTTTGAAAGGCATATTTTCCTTTATGAATTTCTGAGTATGGGTTTCTTCTATCAATTCGTACATGTAATCCCTATCTGAACGCCGAGAATAATAACAGTATGCAATAAATACCACCTATTTTCATTTTTGTCAGCTACTATATATATAGAGGTGGCTTATCTATAGTTCAGGCTGTAGAAATAAAAACGTTATATGCCATCAACCGCTTTGAAATGGTTCCCGCCGGAGTTCATGAGAAGGCAAGTTATAGTTTGAGTTCGAAATCTTGAGAACCACGCCTTATCTGTAGAAAATACATTCACTACATGAATAACAACAGGTGATGCTTATAGATGTACAAGACAAAACGAAGCTCCTGAACACCTCCGATGATCGCGTTTGCTAGTGGAGAGTGCTGTAGATCCGTAGTCCATTCCAACTCCTTATCATATATAGAACAGTATTCAAAAAATGTTTATTGTAGCTCTTCAAGCTTGAGTAACTAGAACGTTGTTGTTTTAACCTAATATCGATAGAATATAATGGATTAACTAGTGCTATAGCACACAATTGTCCGCCCCATCCAAGTAAACGCTCTCCGGTAGGATCGTGTTCTCAGATCACTTCAGAGCCACAGGTCGAGGAGGACAATTGGCTAAATGTGAGGATCCCGAATCTCCATATTCTGCTCATATAATAGACCTAACATGACTGAACTGATATTTGAATTAATTGCTTGGTCTTGGTTCTCATTATCGGGGGTGAACTGTCCTTCTTGATGGAGCTGGTGTACACTACGGATAGCTATCCTATGAGAATCGTATCTAACCTTAACGCAACGTGCTTTAACTCTTATGAAACGGGTATTAATCTCTTGAGACGGATATGTAACCCCCACCCGAACATCGTTTATCGAGTCGTAGCTTTGTAAGCAGCCAAGAGCGATAAAACAATAGCACAACTAGTACACCGCATTATCGTCCCAGGTCGATATCTTTCCTGTCCGTTCAATTTGACGCCCTAAGCGAAACAGAGATTGAACCCCGAAGTTCCTATCCGGGGGTCTCAGTTTCTAGAGGATATCTCAAATATGGGAATAAAGGAGGATTGGTGATGGTTCTTTAGGCCTCTTTCAAAGACGATTGGTTCCAGCGTTCAAGAACTAACATTATGAGTTATGCGATGTTGGTGTAATTGAGGAAAGAAAAGCTGAACGAGGGATATTTCAGTCTCAGCCGGCTGTAGTCCAAGCAACCAACTTTAGTATAGGATAATATTAAGCAATATTTGGCCTTCCTGATCATACCTTGTCAGATTGTTTCTTTCCAGTTGTTCCTATTGAATTGTTGAAATAGGAGTATACCCTTTTCTGATTACCTCGCACCGCCGTCTACCAGTCATAGAAGCGGACAATATCCCGGGGATAGGCTGAAAGGCGGTGGAAAGAAGATGTGCGGAGAGGACAAAATAACGGTCCGTAACTTAGAGCCCAAGAGTAGGCTGCCTGTGGGGCGTGCTTGTTGAAATTGATCGCGACATCAGTAACCCACAAAGGTGACGTCTATTATCCCTGCTCGAGTGATGGTGTATGACTGACCCGACGTCGATAGGAACAAAATGTATAGAAGCAAGATATACTATCTGTACCAAGGACGTAGAAGACAATAAAGAGTATACCATACTTCAAACCCGCTACAGAGATAGTATCTTGTCTCAATATTACATTCATGTCACGAGCGTGCCGAAGATCAAGATTAGATTAGATCATCCTGTGCCAAGCGATGCTGCACAGGGAATATTCAATCCCAAATAAATAAATATTAAACTACAGGATTTCTAAACCAATTTCTGCTCCCTTTTTCATCTCGATCCATGGATCCTATAAAACACTATCGCACATATCCTCATCCTCAATGATGACCCGCAGAGGCAAGGGAGTCCAAAGCGCATACGACGGAACAAGACCGGAAAGCTGCTATAGTGATCATTGGCACTTACTCCATATGTCTGAAAACCTGTCCCCGAGTCCAATCTGTACGGATATCACCTCAATCTCAGAGGAATAGCTAAAAGCAGGCAGGCTGTGATCAAGTGCGGTAACTGGGACATGAGATGAAAAATACAGTTTTAGAAATATCACAACGCGCAAAGAAAGATTGATAAAAACTTAAAAATTTAAAATTTAAAACACGGAGAAGGGTCTCCCCTTCTCACCTATCCACCCTCGCTGTCCTCAGACTCATCCTACTTCGAAATCCCCGACCCGCAGGTTGAAATTTTTGCAGTCTGTGCCCGGCACAGACAATTCTAAAGAAGGCGAGGCAGGACCCAGATGGACAGGGCAAATTTCTTCACCGCCTCCAGGCACAGGATTTGTTGAGTACTGTATTGATAACGTTAGCTTTCCGGTCATGTCATTAGCAGATGGGTGATTCAATTACCAGTCAACACACAGCCCAGTGGTCCCGACAAGACAAGTTGACAACAGTCATTCTTGGTAGCCGTTATTGGCACCTGCACTCCGGAGCCGAGAAGGGGCTCCGTGATTGAGACTGCCATCATAGCTAAGACGGGATGAAGAGCCCGGCACTTGTATTAGCCCCCGTTCCTTGCGGCGTTTTGCGGCATTGGCAGACAGCTGCCGGTCGGTTCAGCAGCGCTTCTGCGCTTTCGACATTCGGCAATCGGTGGGTTTTAGCAGACCACGAAGTGGTTGCCGGGAAGAGGACAGCTTGGTTGTATTTCCATCACTCCCGCGCCGATCAAAGTCCAACTTAGTCCCGGCGGGCTCTGGACCCGCAACGGGAACGCCGGAGGTGACGCGTGGGGCGACGCCCCCAATACCGGGAGCCCCGGAGCTTGGGGCATATTCCCTGTGGGTGGGAGACAGGATGGGCATGAGCCCGGTTTGAGTATCCTCCCCGACGCTGGTGGAAGTTCATACCGGGACGGGAGCCGGAGGGAATGGATCCGAGACAAGGCTGCCTGGTAAATGTTAGTTTAATATCCACCGCATGACAAAACAAAATTAAAAAGGCAAAAATGAGACTCCAAACTACCTTGGGATTATTTTCCCCCGGACTCATTGCAAGGCAGGGGACCCGTTTGGTTGGCGTCTTTATCCTCCCTTGGCACCGCTAGGGCGCCGAAAAGCCCGGTGTTCCGTCCTCCTTGGTGTGCTTGCTTGTTCGTCCTCCTTCTCCCGCGGTTTAGGGGAGCCGGTGATCCGCGGCCCCCACCAAGCCCCGAATAGGATAAAACTCGCAGAGTCCGGCGGTGTGCAGCACGGGCCACCAGGCACCGAGTGTAAAGCTCGCGGGTGCTGGCGGGTAGATAGAAGCCCAACAAGGGTTCCTCTAGGCCACCAATTATATTAGAGCTGTCCAGAGCAGTTTGTTTGATATAGCCGGATGATATATTCACTTACCTTTTGAAAGTCCTTACCCTCCCCCAGAATTCTGCGAAGGACACCTTGTTCGCTGGAATCCTCTTACCACCCCCCCCGAGCCCCAGGAAAGCCCAGAAAACAAGATCAGGATAGGGCGAGGAATCGACCACGCAAACCTACCAAAGCCAGATTTGCAGGAGCAATAACACACCCTATCCTGACACTATTATGAGGGAATTCCCGGGGCACAGTGAGGGTAAGAGGATGCCATTGAAGAGGCCACGAGGGAGGAGTAGCAACTACTTAGTGGTTAGTTTGTATCTAGACATGAACGTTCTGAAAAAAGAGATAATAAATACCCATCCAACTGTTACCCCGACCTACTGCCAACCATGCATGGCTCTCCACGCAAAGAAGTCCTTTTTGGTCACTGGGGGATGGGGATCCACGCAGGACGGGAAGGAACCACCATTAGAAGTCAATGATGTGAGGTTCTTCAAGAGGAGCCTTTAGACAACGTTTGTCCCCCTTAAAGATGGTGAAAAGGCTTAAAGACAACTGGGTCTCCCTTATTGATGGTGTTTTTAAAAGCTTCCGTCAAGGGACGGAGAATTGGCGATATTTATGGGCTCGATATGACCCCCATTGAGTGATGAAAGATGGGGATACAAACGAGCGGTGGGGTCGGTTTAGCGGGGTGAAAAGCTTCCTTCGTTAATATTTATTACTAATTGCTGCCATGCAGGGGAAATACGCAACAAGCGCAAACAAGCATTACTGATTACAGATTGCATGGTCACTGTGGATACATACAAGGACATAGATGTATGCTTCTGATAACTACTTGTATAGAATCTACTCAAGAAGAAGGCAAATATCATCTTTCTTTCAATCTGATGTCCTGTGATAGAAACAACGGGATCTATCTATCGTGTATTCATTGGACAGCAATAAGATTTGATTTCATTCACGGAATGTACTCATTTAGTTAGTAATAGCGAGGAAGTCACCACTTGGCCTTTGACAAGTTAGAGATACTGCCTCTCGCTCGTTTCAATACGGTAAATGTCCGAGCTTACGGGCTGCAGCGACCTCTTTTGAAAAGACGCAGCTTCGTTGATACTCTGTTAAATATTACAAGTTTAGAGGCTTATTCATTTAGTTGCTAGGAACGTTGTTAAGGGATACTTTGCTCCCTCAAGAACTCTGCCCGCACTTCAGGACACGAATTCTGTTATCAAGTCACTGCTTTGATTCATCTAATCAGAGACCCTACTACGCAAACATAACTTATATTTCATACCCCCGGGGCAGCATACCTATATGTAACACCTTTTCTTTACAATATTGAGGGAGAATGTTCAGCGAGTAGTGCGCGGTAGGGAGTGCTAAATCATAAAGGACAGAACCCTCATGCTCAGATCGAATGATGTGTAAAGGACAGAATTCTAAGTCCACCTGGCACTCACGGTATGAATTGTGGCATCTGGCCTCTGTGTAATATAAGTAGACCCAAAGCTAAGCGTCTCCGTCTTCTCCTAACAACCACTTTGCTCCTCATCTCCCACACAGTCGGCTCTTTCACTATTGCACAGAAAAAAGCTAGGCATTGCACAAACTCCCTACTGAGATTGCTCAAATCGTCAACATACCTCCGTGCTCAAGCTTCTAACTTTCCCTCACTCGCTTTGCATCATCTTGATAACCATCGTTATTGACGTGGAAGAGAAAGGTGAGCTCTTCACCTAATATAACCATTTTACAGACTCTGCTAACAAATCCAGATTGAAGGAAAAAGAAGAACACCTGTAAACACCATCACCGTCGATATGCCGCATCTAAGGGTAAGCTACTATTTCTCATCCCACTTCCATGAAAATTATATTAACGGGCCTTACACAGAGCCCAATCGAATTAAGATCAGTGACAGCCCACATGCTACAAGGCGCAGATCTCATCGCCACGAATCTGAGAGACTTGCTCGACAGTGTTGAAACGATGCTGTTCAACAACTATGACCATTTCCGTAATCCTTCAACTAGACACATGTCACGATCTTCACACGAGTTGCTTGAGCTCTATTTCAGTATTCACGAAGCTCTGGTCTCTGTCCACCAAATCATCGACGCACACCGTTCCCAGCTGAGACTCCTTGACCATTTTCTCGAAGGCCTGATGTGGCAGGGGTATGAGAGCGATGAGGTTTCTGAATATTATGTGGTTTTCGGTGAAGATGGGGATGAGGTAGTAAACTAACCGTACCATTGGACAAATGTTTATGGTGGAGGACGGCTAGAAACAAAAATGTACTTGCAGCCTAATCTCATATGCTTTTAAATTATACTCCGTGAGTGCAGTAATCATCATATCTGTCTCCATCTAAGGATATTATTACTCCAATTACGATAATTTACCATTTCCATATTTTGTGTAATCTTCTGCTCTATTGCACCGTGATTTAAAAACTGTTTTTCTCCGGTAGAACTAGTTCCAATGTAAGGTGTCAAGTGATCGTATAGTCGTTGTGGCCTTCTCTTTCCATCCTATAAGAATAATATATCTCTGATCGCCCCGGAGGTATCAAAAGCCCCGCACGCTATGGACCTGGCCAAATGCGGCTCCTCCGATAGGTTGAAATGTTGGGCATGTAAACACCTACGATCAGCGTGTACATTCATGTCGTCGATCGGTACAATTATACCTAAGTATTATAGTTAGTCGAGTCCCCGCGCCAGCAAGAATTTGGGATCGGAAAATAGAATCTTTATGTCGTGGGGCAGCAACTCTAGCCCTAAGATTTCCATTTTTTTAAGATTGCTTGGTGCTGTAATAAGAATCCCTGACATCGTGGTAGAGTTGTCCAAATTCCAGTTATTTGATCATAGTTGGTGCCAGCATAAGGTTACTGTTCGAGTTTTTGATAATGGTGCAATCTGGTTTTACTTGGCAGGTGTGCCAATGTATAAGTGCGGAGCCGCATGTCTAGTAAACATCAACATCCAACAGCGACCAACCGAGCAAAATCCACATATAACCAACACCATAATTTTTTCTCACCATTGCAAATATATCAAACGGGCTATTGAGGTAAAAAAAAAAGCAATCCCTCGATATTCATCATAATGCAGAATTTTATACTGACAAGTCTCGATTTAGGTACAATCTGGAAGCTCGAATTTAGGCTCGAACTCAGATCGATTACACGAAAGCTCGGAGCATTTCCCTCCCTATTACGGATCGGCTCGGCCGTATTATTGGGATCCACTCGGAGGGCCCAATGTCCATCGCTGCCTCTCCAATAAATGGAGATTATGAACCCATTTGTTTGAGTGGACGTCAAGCCGAATGAGACTTGTGAAAGCTTTGGTTGGGTAAAGCTTTACGGGAAGAGAAGGTTTTGGTTGGGTAACTATCAAAAGCCGTGATATGAAAACTGTTGAGATCCATAGAGAAAGAAGGAACTAATCAACTTTACGGTGCATGGGAGGATTTTCTGTTAATGCTTCTTAGTTTCTTCCTTCTCACTTGGTGAATCTGAACGGTTATAGAACGAAGTTTCGTTCCGGTTGTGGCTTTGTGAGATCGAGATCCTTCGTTAAATGTGATCTTCCAGTCTTCTTTTTGTCTGGTTTTCATTTTCGACTTCTTCTTTTTTAGGGACCTTTCTTTTTTCTTGTTTTTTAATTCATTATTTGCATGCATTTTTAGGGACCTTGAATGGGATTATGTTTTCTGAATTATTTCATCACTATCTTTACTACACGCTTACATTCTGTCGTTTAAATCGAACAAGTCCCAGTACCGATCATTTTACGACTTTGTTGGATCGGACAGGTGTCTTATTCTGAACGTGGTTGATGTCGACGTTATCTGTATGAAAGAGATTACTTATGTCTATAAGCGCGTATATTGGTACTGTATGATGGCCGGTATATATATATATCAACAGAAATACATTAATTTCTATCGGAGGTTACTCAATATGAAGCTCGTGGCTTTCGTGTGGAAGAAAAGATGGTACCCATCCTGGAGTTCTCGCTTTGGCACACTCATTCACACACCCTGACTTAGCGACTTAACACACAAGAATTAATAAAGCCAATTATACTACGTGTTCTAATTGTGGCCACGATAGCACAATTAAAAGACGTCCAACCAATGTGCGAGGAATCTACCGAGGTTGCGTACGACACTGTTGGCTGTGCTAATCAATGCTCTTGAATAAGGAAGATTTCGGACTTTCCAATTCGGCAGCTGGCATCCCTCGATACCCAGGCTCGCCTTCCACCCCAGACCTGACAGGAACACCAACCATCACTCTACTTCCCTCAACACCCCAAGCAACAAAACCATCTCAACTCTCATTCATTTCTCATCACCACCAAAATACTACACAAAGCCCTCTCGATCTATACCAATCAGCACATCATGACGGAGTTCTATGTAAGCTAGTATCCCCACCAAACCCCTCCCATCCCCCACTAACACCTCCCTAAAGTCCACCAGAGACCTCGAGATCCAGGATCTCTGTGGGCAGCTTATGCACGACCACATGCGTCTCGACGACGAGTGTGACGCCCTCAACGCTGAGATGAAAACTCTCCAAAGACACATCAAGAAGAGGGATGCCTTGCTCCCTGACGGCTTCCTCGATCCTACCCTCTACGAGGAGCGTGTACGCATCATGACTCTCAGCCGTGCTATTGGTCAGCATGAGTACCGTCTCTACCACTTGGAGAGGATCGAGATGAAACTTGTCAAGATGTTTGCGAAGGAAGCTCGTGCAGAAAAGGGGATGCCACTTATTAAGGAAGAGGATGAAGAGGAGGATCCGGTCCCGGATGAGCTGAAATGTTGCTGTAATAACATCTTTAAGAAAGAGGAGGAGGAGGGGAGTAGTTCCGCTGGGGCCTCAGGCAGCGGATCGGGCAATAAGGAGAATGAGAAGGCTGGCAAGAACAAAAACTCAGGTGGATTCAAGAAGGGACGTCTTCCCGTGAATCGCACTGTCCCCGGCCCTTCGCAACCGAAGTGAAGCACTCAACTATGGCAACATGATATCAGACGAGGATGAAGATTGAAAACGGAAAAGGTATGGAAATTTTTCGAAGGGTGTTCTTTGCTCTAGGCTAGTTAATTTGTTGATTTCGGGGGAGGCGAAAGTTGATTGAGTCCTGTATTTACTTCGTAATGTCTACACTCTTTTAAAAGGTTCCTTCCAGCTTGCATCACTTCTCGCATAAGAAGCCACGTCCTTCGTATGAAACATGATTTTCTTGCTTGTATAAAGGTTTTACAACGCAGATATGGCCCAAAAACATTCGGACACGAGGTGAGGGATCTATATATATGTCTTGCCCTGACTAACGTTCAAGAGTGACAAAGTCCTATATATAATGTTGCATGGTTTGAGAACGAGAACTGTTTGATGCTGTTTTACCTTAGACTCTCACGCTACATTTGTTTTCATCCTCACAATGGCACTTAGAAGGATCCGATAAGCTGCGCATCTGATCTTATCAGCCAGGCTTGGCAACTCGGGTAATCTTGGCAGTCAAATACGACTCAGGGCGAAAAACAAACATGGGCGAGTGGCCTAACGGTTAACACTCGCCCCCGGACGTACACCGTGCGGTTGTGTCACCTTCGATTACAGAAGGGCAACGGTTCAACCCAGGGGTGGGGGTAGTAGATATGGGTCTGGCCATATCTGCAGTACCTTTTGTCTTTTTACGTACAACATACCAAATAAAGCATAAAAATCCCCTAGGGAAAGATTTTCGAACGATAATTTACCTATAATAACCAGTAACCTTTGAGGGGATAGTATATCCCTGTGCAACACCCTGTTCATCCCTTTCATCAGGATGACCTGAGAAAGAATTGGCCTGAATAGGCGGTAGGTTACCTTCATAAATTCATAAGGTATCATGTGATGCTAGGACAATTATTAAAAAAATAGAGCTCTGGAGGTTCAAACCTTGACTATCCTGACTTATCACTCGGTATCTTATCACCTACACTATTATTTTCTTTACTACATTAATATTTCCTGACCTCGAAAGCTCAGCTATCAGGGCAGTTACCTCTCACAGGAGATGATCATCGTTTATAGCAGATAGTGTTACAGGAAACACGAACACTGCTCCTAAGTCAAGGAATAAGGATAATACGAGTGATGGGTTGTGATGTGAGTACGGTCGGGTAACGAGGGAACCAGCATAGGAAGGTACCGAGGGGTGTGGGGGCACCGGGTGCAACCACATTAGTATTAGGCTGTTGTGAGGGCACGCTTATTATTGGGTGTCTCACCCGGAACGGAATAGAAGCGGGGCTTATGGCTGCAGGCCATTCTACTTAGGGAAGTAGCTCTAGGACAATAGCATGATACAGCTCGGTTACTGGCAATTGCGGGGTTCATGGTTACGTGTCGGAATTAGAATGGAGGAACGGAACTATGCGGGGGCGCTTTTCTATTGGGGGTTATCTTCGGGTTGATTGTCTTATTCTATTATCGTTATCTCATTAGTATTAGAAAGCGGGCCTTGGCATAGGGTCCAATATGTATAAATAGGGAAGGGTTCCGCCTCGTCTTAGTGGCATCATCAGTCACTCAGCGAGCGGAATCCGGTTTACAATATTACAAGTTTAAAAGCTACAGAACTATCGCTTAGCATTGGCATTTCCCCAAACACTATATTGTACCTTATCCACTACGCTATTATTTTACCGATCGCATACCATCAAACGTCCCGATAAGACAACTACTTGCTTAGACCAATACTTGAGAGTATTTTGTTTGTGGCGGATAGTCACCGTGCGCTCAAGTAAAAGAATAAGAAAGTAGTCTATTAGAAGGACTCTTTGATACCGTATGCATCCTCGAGTAGCAACAGCAGCTATCAACAACTTTACTTGCACTACCTCTTTTGTCGTTCGCAGAGGCAGTGCCGAACACCTCTATTGCGGATACCTCGAATACGCCGGGTTTTTTGCCGAAGCAGGTACTACTTGCACGTTCGAAGAACACGACCCGGAGATCCTCAACTATCCCGAACTCTTCCCCATTAAAGTCACCCTCAGTCAGCAATCCTACGGATTAGCTCACTCCGTCCCTTGGTTCGTCGTTCAACCCTGGTGCAGAAGACAGCCACAACTCAGAATCGAGCAACTTAGCGATGTCAAGGGGTCATCAGCAACAAGCGGAGGAAGACTACAACATGGAGAGCTCGATCACCGTGAGAGATCGAGGTATAGTCGAGACCCAGGCGAGACAGCGCCACAGGAGGGATCTGGACATGCCGATCAGCGACCTCTTCAGGTCGACGCAGCCGGCCGCATCCTATGGCCAACCCCGCTCCCGCAGGCAAGGGAACTATCGAGATTATTCCCCGTACAAAACGCCAATCAGAGAACGATCTTCTATTCCGAGGCCCTCGGTCCTCAGGGTAACGGACGACGACGAGGACACGAATATGGACGTGGAAGAACGCCGTATCGAGCACCCCTTTGGAGAAATCATCGGGCAGGAAATCGAACGGAGAGGAGCCCCAGTGGTTCAGCAGCTGAGTCGCGGACTTGGAGACCTCACTGTGAGCGTCCAAGACCTGCCCGCAATCAGGGAAATTACTCGGCAGCACGCGGCGCAGCTTACCCAGCAGCACGAAGAGCAGACCAAACTCATCCGCGAATTGCAGATGAAGTTCAACCAGGACCAAGAAGAACGGGAGCGCCGAGATGGGTACATCCTCGCGCAAGTGCGGGCAGAGACAGCCGCAACCACTACGAACCTCGGCCAAGTCTTGGAACAGATCGCCAATACCACTAGGGCCCACCAACAGCGGCAGGAAGAGCAGGCTCAGCACATAACTATGCTGGCCGACTGGATTCAAAGGCTGCCGAAAGAAGGCCCAGCCCAAGTCCCAGACGGCGTAGCGGCTACACTGGCACAGTTGGAGAGGACCATGCAGCAGCAGGTCTCCTTGGTAGATGGGTTCTCTGGAACAAGGACGGCTCTAGAAGAAATGATAGAGCAGATGAAGGAAACAGCCCGTAAAGCGGCTGCGGAAAAACCACTGGCCCCAGAGACAGGTGGCGGCGGATCAGGCCCACCTCCCAAACCACCTCCCCAACAACCAGTCGCCCCTCCAGCCGGCTCTGAATCCAGTGACGACCTCGAAGACCAAGGCCAACGAGGGAAGCAAGGAGGTCAAGAAGCACAAGGTGGAGGTAACGGGGATGGCAATCAGGGAGGAGGTCAAGGAGCACAAGGTGGAGGTAACGGGAATGGCAATAAGGGAGGTAACGCCCCGGAAGCACCCGGATCATCCCCATCGGACTCCTCAGATTCGGAAGACGAACGCCGCAAGCGGCGGGAACGTAAAAAACGAAGACAGGAAAGGAGGTACCAACAAGGGAAAGATCTCTTGCACCCCCCTCGGGCCACCGTAGGTGATGCACCCAAAAAGGCCAACATTCCCTTCTCCGGAAGAGCCGATCAAGACGTAAGACTCTGGATCGACCAGATGGAGATTCTAATCAGTCTCCAGAAGAAGGTCCAATGGGATGACGGCACCAAGATTATGTGGGCATCCCTCGAGTTTACCGGTAGTGCGGCAAACTTTTGGCGGAATTTTACGGAGAGGTTGGCTGTGGACAGAAGTATCGGAACCTGGGAACGGTTCAAGCAAGAACTCCGCACTCAATATGGCAACCGCACAAGTCAGGAACAGGCCAAGCAGAAGATGGACAGACTCCGGCAAACTGGCCCAATCGACGACTACATCAACGAGATGCAGAACCTAGAATGGGACGCACGAGTTGGACCAGTTGTCATGAGATCCCTGATCCTAACAGGAATAAACTCCTCGCTGGAACAACGGCTCTCCAATGCGATTGAGGAACCTGGGGATTTCGTGGACTGGTTAGCCTGGGTACGAAAAGTCGGACGTAAGGACCACGAAGTGAAGGCTCGGAAGGAAATCCTGCGAGGTAAAGATACTGTGAAACCTCGCGAGGAAAAGACGGAACGGCGGAAATCGGGCAACAACGCAAATCCTCGGAAAACTTTTCCCGCATCAGCCAACAACTCCAAGACCTCAGATGACTTAGGTGTCACCAAAGAAGAGAAGGAGAAATGGCAGAAGGAAGGAAAGTGTTTCCGTTGTGGTAGAGATAACCACTTCGTAAAGGATTGCGTGGCAACGAGCAAAGTCAGGTTAACGAACCTGAAGAGAAAAGAGTATCCTTCCGGGAGAAAGGACCACGGAAGGGAGGGTGATAAGAAACGGAAATTGGGGCCACAAAATGAGGCATTTAGGGCAAGGATTACGAATTTGGAGGACTAAATTGATTGGGTATTTCTATTTTTTATGCGGTGTTTCATTCTATGTTGTGTTACGGGTTTTATTTGGGAAAAAGACTTTTCTAAGGGATCGGGTTATGTTATGTTCTATCGGTTTTGCGCAATTTAAATTCTCTTTACACACATTTCGAGAAGCGGGGTTACATTCTGAAAATACCTGGTGCATAAGTGTTGTACTATGATTTTGATCAACGCTCAAATTTTCTATATAAACTCCCTCGCCCGCGCTCAGAACAAGAACTATCAACATCAACCCACTTATACCCAAGAACAATCTACCTTACCTTACACTTGTTAAACATACGAACATGTCTTCACATCACCAAGAAACCCGCCTTGAGATTGAGATCTCTTGGAACCATCCCGCGACTAGTACCCAACATGCAGAAACAGTCAACGCACTCCTAGACAGTGGAACAGAGGACTGAGTTATGTCCTGGAACTGTGTCCATCGCCTCAAGATCCCAACTCAGCCTCGACCCAAGCCCCTCATCATCAGATAGGCTGACGGTACCCCTATGCCTAACTCCGGCACTTATATCACCCAATCTCTTACTTTCCGCGTCGGCAACCATCTAGACAGAGACATCGTCTGTGAGGTTGGCTCATTCGCAGGAGAAGACCTCGTCATACCACATCGATGGCTCCAGGAGCATCAACCAACCATACAT